GCAAAGTTCAACAAAGTTCATGTTCCAACGTGAAACAAAAAGGTCCATATGTCACCTTTACATAAAGTGGGAGTCATATCAGTGACAGCAGTGACACAAAGTGGCGTTTCTCTGTGTACATACATTTTGCAGCAAATTGCGTGTTTGAAGTTTTATTTAGGCGATAACGCTACCAAGGCGTCGACCTTCTTTTGTTATGAGTATACACAGGAGTTCACTGTTAAATTAAGCTGCCACGTTACTTAAAAATGTACAAATAACAAAAGGGTTGATTGTGCCTCTGCTAAGAACTAAAATAGCAAATGCAAGCAATATCTACAAGCATACAAAGCTACTTTTTATGCTTGGATCTGACATACATGTGAACAAATGTAGAGTTTCCCATTCTCCGTTCTTGATTTTGACAGAATCCATCATGACAGCCAGATACGAATCTGTGCTCTTCAGTGTCGTGTTTTGCAAGAAACGTGATCATATTAACAGATACAGATTGGGTCATAAGCTCAAGTGTGTCAAAGAACTAGCTTTGCAACAATTCTCCACAGCACAAGAATGAAAAGATGCACTCCGTGGTAGAGATTTAAACACAAGATACCTACGTTTTGTGATGACACCTAGTGTAAAGCTGTTAGGTAGACAATAGGTTTTCACACAAGCTTGGCTTTATAGCACATAAACGTTACTGTCTGAATCATAATTTGAGAAAAATGCATGAACCCTTCCCCGACTTGGCTCATCATGAGTGTGTCACTGTCACCGAATGATGAACAGCACCCATGAGACAGCAGAGGGTCACCCAGTGAGAGATTCCACGGTGGTTCTGTTCCAAGTCAGAGCAAAGGTAGAAAAACAGAAGACAGTACATGCTCTGACTGCATATTACTGGCTTGATAATGGCAAAATGGTGTTGGCTAGAGTCGGTGTTAAACTTGTACCTGCTGCTACCCATCTTGCCGAAAACGTACAGAGTCGGTTAAAGAGTTACAGTTAAACTCCAAAAGATGTTTCACCCATCTCTAAAGCTGCATTTGGTATCATTCTGGAAAATATTAGGCATGTCTCACTAGTTTTAAGCGGCTACACCTTATGTATAACTAATTACAGCTGGATCGAAAAACTTTTCAATTATATACATGAGGACTGAAGTTGTATTTCAAGTCAAGGGAGTCAAACCTGATTTTGAAATCTTTCAAATTAACTCAGTGAGACACACCATGTTGATGTAAAGACTTTCTTTGCATGTCTGCATGTTAAACTCTTTTGTTTCCATGCATGCAAAATTTAACAAACAGCACTTGGCCCGACCGAGTGTCTCTGCTCTTTGAGACATCATGAGCGTCTTTTCATTTTAACCTTTCACATCGTTTTGATAGATGCCAGGGCTCCTTCCTCAGGCTTTGCACAATGTATCCCTGTTATGTCTGCAGCTAAGAATAGATGTGAAAACACTCCCGTTACCCAAAAATAAAGCCAAATTTTATCAGATCTTCGAACTGAGCTGTGACAAAGAGAAAATCAACAGCAGCACAATGAGAGCGCCTGCATTAAAACGCAGAACACAATCAAATCATTAACAATTGCTGCACCAGGGTGTTGTACATGACATCTGATGGAAGAACTCATGCATTCCACATGGTTCACCTTGCACATGTTGTTAACTTGCTGGCTGCCAAACCAGTTTTGGTTGTGTAATAATGAGGAATGTTCAAGATGCCTCTCTAACTGCTGCGAATGCACAGAGGCCGCAGACCTCGAAAGTGCGCCTGCCTCCAACTTGTAGCCTCGTCCACTCTCAGCTTTCACTAGCAGACAAACAGTGTGCTTAGGCTCTGTGCACGCCACGGGAAAGATGATACAACGCCGGCGTGCTTGAGATCAATGCAAAATGTGAGCATAACTGGATATAATGTTTTGTGAACATTATTCGGAAAGGTTTCCTGGCCTGGTCACTGGGGAAACGAGAATAACATGAGTCAGTGGAAGACTTCAGATTGTGTTAAAGGCAGTGAAGAATGATGTTGGCACAATCCAAACTGCAAAAATAACGTATTAGGAACTTATTCTAATTCTCTACTACAAACCCACACACACACATTAGTGCCACTGAGGTGAGCTCTTGAACACAGCTTCTTATGACCTAAACTGCCTTTGACCGCGCACTGGTATCCAAACACTGACTCCCATGTTCCTGATTTTTGACTGTTGACAACATTTCGCTTTATTACTCAAGAGATGCATGCTGATCAGCATGTAAATGTGCTGACTCGATATTGTGCCTATCCAGCTGTTGTCACACCACACGCACCAGACATATGTCGGACCTACGGAAAGCCCTGAGAGGTCAACGCGCTGCAACGTCAGAAAACACACACGTACATGGACACGATTCTGCTGCGAAGTGAGAAAACACAAAGAAATACTACATCTGGCTGCAAATACAGAAAATGCAACCAAACACAGAAGACAAATGTCTGCCTGTTTTATGTTTGTGTTGTCAATTTGGTGACATTGCACCGTTTTCGAGGTTGCAGTGCGTTGAGCTGCAGGGACACAGTACTGATGCCCTAAAGAGAAAAACACAGACATGGATTAACTTTGACAAAAAAAATAAAAACAAAAGCAAAAAAAAAAACCCAGTGTGCTTGGTTTATCATCTCCACCAACTGGTGGCCTAAATACTTAATGCCAAAACAAACATGTTTGGACCATTGACTAATCTAATAGTGTGTGTCTGTGTGTGTGTGTGTGTGTGTGTGTGTGTGTCTGAGATTAAATTACATAGCTGTCACCTCAAGGAAAATCCAGATCAGGCTTTGCTGGACTTCCCTTTGTCTTGTTTTCACTTTCAAAGTGAAGCTCAGTCCATCACAGTATTTCAATAGGTGTGCCTTATTGCAAATCCTGATATCATTCACTTAATTTTGAATCATGAAAACATCACAATGAGAGACTGTTATTGTTGTTGTTTAACCTGGACCTGTGAGCAGTGCAGGTCATTGAAAACTCTCTCAAAAGTCATATGCATTATTTAAGTGGTTGAACTAATCCTGTTTTTCTCAGTCTATTCTTCACAATCCTGCACTAACTGTCATGTATAAGGAAGGTGTCCCCCCGCCCCTCCTCTGTGCAGGCCTACCTGGTTGGGGTCGCCGGCTTTGAAGACGTGACAGGACATCTCGGACTCGGGGTTGTCCGGCTGGCCCCGCAGCAGATAAGCGAAGTAGGTGAGGTCATTGCTGTTGTGGATGAAGCGAGAGATGAGCTGCGCTTTGTGCTCGAATATGAAAACTGAGGAGTTGTTGCTGCTGGAGGGGACGCAGCGGACAAAGGGGGGACACAGGACCAGCTGAACTTCTCTCGGCTGCATCACGGGGCCGCAGTCGCCCTTCTCGCTCCTCCTGCGGATCTCGGCCACCAGCCACGGCAGCATGGGCAGGGTGGCCCGCCTGTCGAGCGAGGACCAGCCGATGTAAGTCAGGGCGAACCTCCGGTCCGTCTTCTCCTCCTGGCTCTCCATGTCAAACCACTCGCTGACAGCTACTAAATGCTACTTTTGAAAAATATTGCTATTCATACACCATTCCCTGCAGCCGAGGCCAGTTGTGGTTAGTTTGCAACACTTTCCACGTCCGCATCCATACTTAAAGTTCACACAACGACACGCTTTGCTCCGTGCAAGACATGTGCTCACCCTCTGGATCAGCTGCAGCTCTCCATAATATCCCCCCCCCTAAAAAAACACACATCCGATGGCTGCTTTTCCTTCAAGGATTTCAAGTAAAATGACTTATATGGCCATGTACTCGCAGCTTGGGTTCCTGCTCTGCTCCACTGTTTGCATGGGCAGCGAGTCAAACGCCGAACACTCCTGTACACTGTCCCAGCCGAGGTTGCTTGCTAAAACGTGGCTTTGGATGGCTTCTGTGTAAACACAAGCCGCCCAGAGAAATCAGATTTCTTTGACGCGCTGTGCGTTGCTCCTTTTGCGCACACGGGGCGGCGCGTTCCCACAGTCCCAACCCAGAAAGACGCATAAGCTCAGCGGGCGCGTTGGTAAATTTCCTTCCCTGTGAAGTATAAAATACATACATTGATTGTCTTCTTAGTGCAGCCTCTCGTCTGTGATCCTTTCTTCCACAACGCCTTGGAGGCGGAGCGGCTGCGCGCTTTGACGAACTGCCCAACCATCCCATGTGCTGGAGGAGTGGGCAGGAGAGAGCTGCTGTGTGGAACGTGACAGGAGGTGGCTCCGCCTTTCTCCACAGTACACAAACTGGAAAAGTGTCTGCCATGGCAGAGGTAGTGGGGGAAAAGTGTTTGCAGCCCCCGTTGCTCCTGCAGGCTCCTTCAGGCCACTGGTTGTAATCCACCAGGTTAAAGCAGCCAGACAAGCCTTTGCAAAAAAAAATCAGCAGTGAAGTTCGCAGCTGTTTACAAGCAGGCAGTGCTGAATCATAGTATCGGACGGCTGTAATCTGATGCTTAAAGCACTGAGGAGTTCCCATCCACTAAATGCCACAATATCCAAGCACTCGGCCTGTACCCAGAATAGACCCTTTGCCATATATAACCTCATGAGTGAGGGAGCAGCCACCAGAGCTCTGCATCCTGGAGAACCTCACAGTGCTGCTCTGCACCTATTTGAACTGTAAACAACTTTCATAATGTGGAAAGGCCACTAAACATCATGCTTCAGGCCCTCGTTTGACTTAAATCATTCAGTGTGTTGTAGTTTGAGCTGATTGTTCATGTTATACTGAATCCACTGACCTCAATGTAAAACACTGAAAGTAAATATTATTGAAAATATGATTAAAATATGCATATGTATGACTGAATGACTAAATCATGCCTCAAGAGTCCTACTGACCTCTAGAATCTACACCTATTTGACCACAAAACTACCAAAAAGTGGGTCTCAGCAAGTTTTATGGGGATACTTTTCCTAATTTGTAGGATTTTATTGATTATTCTCACAAAAACAATAAGGTCAGATCAAATAACCATGCATTAAGGTTCACATTTAATCATTTCTTGCATCACAATAGTGGTGGATAAGGTATTCAGATGATTGTACTTGAGTTAAAGTACCAAAATAACAATGCAAACATATTCCACTACAAAGAATCATGTTCGAGCATAACAATAGTATGAATAGCAACATTTATTTCAAGTATCAAAAGTAACAGTATTCATTCTGAAAAAACAACAACAAAAACAAAATCGTTAGCCTAGTAATGCATCAGTGGCCAGTAGAGGTTTGATAGTTGCTGTTAAATAGTCTGCTGTACAATGTAGATTTCTTTTAAAATCGTTTCTCTAATGTTTGCTTTTTGGTAAGTAGGAGATTATTTTACTCGTCCGGGTGATCTAACAGTTGTTTAAATGAAACCTGATAACATGTCAGGCATGTGGAACATTACAAGGAGCCACAGCTGTAACACATATTTTATTTTAGGGGTCACAAGTCAAAAAAAGATGTTGTATTCTGTGAGCTTTTGAAAGTGTAAAGTTTCAATTGGACAAATTATTTTCATTCTAGTTGCTGAATAAAGTGGAATGGCATGAAAAGTAGAATATTTTCCTCTGAATTGTCATGGAGTCAAAGTAAAACATAACATGAAATGGAATTACAACTACACGCAAAGTACATGAAAATGTACTGAAGCATAGCATTTGATTGGATGTACTTTAGGTACTTTATACCACTTAGCAATAAAAGCACGCACAATGGCTAAACAGCTCACACAGACTGTTTTCCTTCACAAGCTTTCCTGACTAAAAGCTGTGGCACAGAGTAAACATGAACTTCAAATATTATCTGTAACTATGTAGATAATGTTGTGTAGTGGGGGCTAATCACAGTCCCAAACCAGAGATAAAAATACAGCAACGGATGTGCTCACTGTGGACCTACACTTTCATTTAGTCTAAAAGTACAAATGCATTGGCAAACTGCAATTTAGTACAAACTGTGATTCACCTAAACCCCATCATAGATATTATACAACAGATGTGGCACAATTAAGGATATTAGTCGTGTTTTGCAGCATAAACAGTGTATGTAAACCCTAAAGGTAAAATGTCAATACTGGATAAGTTAACAGGAGGAAGTACAGTTAAATCTTGGCACTCATATCGAGGACAGTCTTTTCAAGTGTTAATAGCTGGAACATCTAGAAGCTTATGCAATCTGTGGAAAAATCCAAGTACAAAGCTGAGAGTTGGCATTTGCAGCAATTACAATCCATTTGAAACAGCCAGCAGACAAACACATGTCAAACTGTTCTTCCGTTGGTTACGTATAAATGTGGTGTAACTGTGATAAGCACTTAAATGTGCCTGCAACCATCATACAGTCTCCATGACAGCTGCCATCTCCTTGAACTGCTTATGAAAGTTCTGCAAAGAAAAATAAAAGAAGAAACTCAAAATCTAGACTGAAATAAATTACACCAGCAACACTGCGTTCATATCAACAAATACAAACCTGGAACTGCGGAATGGTCATCTCAAAAGACCTCTGACGGATCTGTCCTGAGGGCTCGACGATCTTTAGCAGCAGGGTGACATAGGGAGAGTTGAGAGATCGACAGGTGTCTGAGCTCACTGCCATGCCCAGCTTCCACTGCATGTCCACTAACTAGAACAGAACAAACTAGTTATGTCTCATGAGCACTGACAAAGAAGACAAACAGATGGGTAAACTTAGATATACCTGGCCGATGCTGAGCATAGCCTGAACCTCCTGCTGAGCGTTGACTAAAGCACCCTGTTCACTCCACAGCTTGTGCAACACCTGAAGGGAAGCTTTGGACCATTTATTACTGCTGTCCTCCAGTTTAGACACAAGCTCATCCCCAGAGATGTTGCTCTTCCCACTTGACCTGCCAATATAAAACATACATCACCATCACTCCTGACAGCAGAACAATGTTTTTCTTTATGTGTGATTTGGAGTTCTAAGTATAAATAAGAAATAAATGTGTGCAACGGACGTCAAATTAAAAATCTGATTCTGAATCTGAATCTGATTCTTCAGATAGAAGAAAAAAAATGTCATGATACCTGAATGTCAACAACAGAAACCTGATGATGTCTTGCAGAACTTCATGGTCAAGTCTGACTCCAGCACTTTGCAATCTCTACCCAGCAGAAAAACAAAAACAAAAGTCATGAAAGAGGAACTTGGGAAAATGAGTTACTATATGTTACCAAAAAAAAATCTAAGGAAATATGGACTCACATCAGAAATTTCAGTTGAATCTACTCCTCTTGTCTGCCCTTGCAGATAAGTCAGAATGTGCTGACACTGTGGAGATTATAAGATTAGTTATCAGAACTACAGTTTAACCTCCATGGCAACAACACCACATCCTGTGTCACTTGTACAGAGTGTGCCTGCTATAGTCCCAAAATATACACTTCTACTCTGTATTTCACATCCAGCTTCACCCTGTGGCAAATCTTAGCAGAAGACGTGTAAAGGAGCATGTTTGTTTAAATTTTCTGTAACTGTCTTAGTCACACCAATGATAGAGGCCAACGGTGTGCAAACTATGCCATGACTTTCCATGCAGTTCACTTTTTTTCTCACTTTACCATAGTCAGAAATGAAAGCAACAACATTTGTAAAGCACTTCATTTTGGTTTATTCTTCTTATGAACAATAAGAATAAGTAAATCTGCCACTGCTGTGCATCCTATAGCACCACAGAAGTATGGAGAGCAAAGCTTTACTTATTTTTATTTTATTGTACATGATCCATGATGGTAAGAAGAAAAAAAAAGAAATGCATGGCAAAAATAACATATCGACCCCCTGCCATTCAAATTTCACTAATGATGTTCTCAGAGGAGCTAATGACTGATTACCTCCAAGCTCCCCTTAGATCCCCTGCAGTTTGCACACTGGAGGCCAATAATAACAGCATGATATATGACCCGTGAGAACCTTCTCTTCCAAGCACTGATATGTCACTCACTTAAATAAGAATCAACATCTACACTGTGTGCTTAGCTGTCTGCTTGTGACTTGCTTTTGGCCTGCATGAGGATATAAACAACTAAAGATAGAGTACACTCACTGTTTCAGCCAACAGATCTGGAGACAGCCTACAGATGTTGTCCACAACGCTGTTGACGGCTGAAATACAGAAGTGAAGCAATTACTTTATCACAAGATTTCCCATTCTTTTGTGGACCCAGCCACTGGTGTCAAAACGCACAACAGTCACGGAGTCATGTGAGTCTGGTCTGAGTATGGTCATTATGTACTAAAGAACAGGCTGGAAAAACTAGGCTACACTGTGGTAATCATGGTATTTCTTTGCTCTTCTTCTTTTTTTTTTTGGCAAGAGCAGGCAGCCACAACTGCAAAGGAGTTTGTGGTATGAGTTATTTATTGATGATAACACAATTGGAAATACTAGGAAACACATTAGTCTAATTTAAGCACTCTTTCACCTGAAGAAATCTCAGCAGAACCTGGGAATGGGACTGAAATCCCTTTTCATCATGCAGTGGGATGAATAGTTTCTAATCTGATGGCTTAAAGCGTTTGGAGGATTCTCAAAAGAAGTTTCTGTATTTTAGAGATGCAAGTGGCTGCAGCTGTGATGCACATGTATGCTAATGTTCCTACGTGTGAGACACAAACTGGGGCAATAAGCTCGTATGTGTAGCAGTAGTAAATAGTAGGAGTTTAAGTGAGAGTGAGGTCAGTCAGGTTTGGCATCTCATAAAGATTTTAGGTTACTTTTAATTCAGCTCTATGGAAGTGAAAACATGGCTACAGAGAAATAGGCGCCCGTTAGCTACTGTGTTAAGCTAACGCTAACTAGTAGCTAAAATAGCATATATTGCCCGGATTGGGTGCAATTGCTACAGCAAAGATGTAGCCTAATTCTCTTTATAGTTAAACTAGAGCCTGCTGAAAAACACCATAACGCTGTATGATGCAGGTTAACACCCACCACATGACTCCTCTGCTGCTGGCATCTTCTCTCTCTGTCCAGGCAATGCTGACAACTTAGCAACTTTCCACTTCCGGGACCCTTGAGGGGTTTTATTTTTCAAAAAGTTATGTTATTATTGGATTCAAAACGGCTAGTTACAAGTAAAGCAATAATGTATCCAGGCAAGTCGTTTCCCTTTAAAAACGAGTTGTCAATATTCTTCTTCTTTGTGGATATTAGCGGTAGAGAAACCAGAGGTGAATACCGCCCCCTGCTGGTTTGGAGTTTGTTCTTCTTCTTCTTCTTCTTCTTCTTCTTCTTCTTCTTCTTCTTCTTCTTCTTCTTCTTCTTCACCTCTCGATAGTTGTGTTATTTTCTGGCTGACAAGTACAATATCGTCTTCTTTGCAATAGAAAATCATTGCTTTTAAAAACCTGGATGGAAAAGGAAATTTGGTCTGTCACCCACTTAATAGATGATTCAGGTGAACTATTAGGTTATCAAGATTTCTGTAAAAGCTCTCACTGCCCAACCCAAGAATAGAACAAAGTGATTTAAAAAAAAAAAAAATCCATCCCTTTTAAAACAATGATTCAACAAATCAGGGTGCATTCTGATGTTACAATAGAACCGAGGCCACTTTGTATTAATGGTTTCCACTTCAACAGTTTACTGTTCAATAACAAATTCATTTGAAATAGCTTAACAGATCACTATTACCCTTTCCAGTTAAAAAGAAAGTTCATTCTAAGAATTTGTGGAAAAATGCCCAAAGACTTTTTTCCTTGATAGATTTATTCATGCTGCTTGACTGAGATCCACATCTTATTTTGATTTTTTTGTTATTTTTATGCTGGTGTTTTTCTGTTCAAGAGCTGCCTCAACACTTTGAAAATGCAACGTTTCTAAATGCCATATTTTTTGTACATTCAAAGAGACCAATAAAGTTTATTTAAAAAAAAAAAAAAGAAAAAAAAGTGCAACATTTTCTTTACTGAACAATGCAAAAACAAATACTTAGAATTAAAAATTCAGGTCGCAAACTAGAAAACTCAGTGCAGCAAAAGTAGATACATCTTTATTCACTGACACACAAGCTTAGAAACCTGTGGTCACTGAAACAAAACTGAGTACACCTGTGATTTTTACTTTGAGTAACTGCATAAATATGATTATAAAGTACACTGTAAGCACCAGAACTTTCTTATTTTCTAAGTAAATGCTGTGTCTTTCTGCATGCCTGCATCATGGCTCCACATTGAAAAGAATTACAAGAGAAATGTAAGAATCTAACTGTGATTTCACACAGATGGGCAAGGATACAGAAAGCTCAGTGATCAACTAAAAATCAGGCAAAATACAGATGCAGCAGTAATATGAGCTAAAGAACAAGACGTGGTGCCAGTAATTTCAGCCAAAGTGGCGTCTTTTTGAAATGATGCCATGGACAGGGGGCTGCTTGCACAATCTAATTCTGAAAAGCAGATAGACAAGTGCTTTAGACTTGGCACTGAGGCTACTAGTGGACGCTTCTGTAACAGCTCAGTCAGCGCACAGAACACTGCATAATGTCAACCTCTATAGGCAGTATCTAGCAAAAAAACAAAACCCTTGCTTGTTCTTCAGCACAAAACTGCAATATTGAGCATTCGCTAAAATGCATGGAAAAAATCTGATGAATATTGGGAGCACATTCTTTGGTCAGATGAGACCAACATAAATTTGTTTGAATTAGATGGGGTCCAGCATGTTTGGCATGAACCTGGTCACAACGTCCATAGTGAATGCATAGTCCTGACAGTGAAGCACAGAGGTTGGAGAGTGATGATATGGAGCTTCATGAGTGCAGTAGGTGTTGGGGAGATGAGATTTATGAATGTCTGTGAATGTACCAAAATACTAGCTGACAAGGAAACCTCCAAATATGTAGAGGCTTAAGAGAAGAGGAATATTTGAATATGATAATGATCCATATGATGAATAATGTTAATGATATTGCGAAGTACAGCCTTGTGCAATGTCACATTTGAATGATATTGCACAGAGCTGTACTCACTTCTGTTGTAAACTGAAACTCCAAGTGGGTGAGCAGCTGAGCCACAAATGAACGAGAATAAACAGCCAAGTCTGTAATAGTCTGAGTCTTAAATCAAGGTCAATAGATAAAATATGGGTCAAGAAAAGAAGAGATAATCTGCAACAGATTAAGACTTTACCACTCTAATTTAAACAGCACACACAGAATAATAAGAACGCATCCAAGTGGTTTAGGCAAGCACTGTCATGTATTTATCGAGTGTCTCTCAAGTCTGATGAAGGTAGAACTGAACTGAGGTGGGCAGGAGGTTCAGGAGCTCTGTCAGGTGAGAAGTCCTTTGAGTTTATTAGACACAATGGATTAATGGGTAGGATTTAATCTCTGGCACACTCTGGAGCAGATGGCAGCAATAACACATCTGATAAACTGGTTGCCAAAAGCAGATTTATAAAGAAACGAAGAAGGAGAGACACAAAAACTTACCTAAGATTTCTGTATAGCTTTGATAATATCAGTTCTGAATTATGGGTGCATTTTATTTGACTTAACCCCTTTTAAAAAACTAAAGAATCCAAGCTCAAGCACTACTGTTCTGTTGTGGGGCAGTGAAATTATCATTACTGTCAGAGCTCCAGGTGAAAGTTAAGGAAATGCCATAACAGTTAAGAAGGAAAGAATTAATGACCAGTTAACCTGCAAATCTACCAAGTTATAAGGATTCACAAACCATTAGAAAAGTCAGATATAACTCAGGAATTGGAAATTAATGATTGGACTATTACTCAAACTGTTTTACTATTACACACTGTTTTCTCAATTTTTGGATCATGGTCATTCAAAGAATAAAGCATTTAATCTGCAGGCTCATGTGAACACTGTGTTATGGGCGATATGAACACGTATTTACAGATAACTGGAAAGAACTGGAAAACATAGTGCACTTCATGTCCCAGAATTAAAAGTTAAAGTAAGCAAGAGAACTACAGCTCATATATCTATATATACAATTAAAACAGTGGCCCTGCAGTGGACAAAACAAGTCAAACCTATGCAAATACTGTTTTTCTTAGATTTGAGTGCAGCCCTGGCTAATCTCAAGTCTACCTCCTCAGGATGCAGACAAGGTATCTGTTATGACTTTATGCAATTTGATTAGGAGCCGATGTGGGCACCAGTGCATGTGGGCATCCAGAGAAATGAGGTTGTGGATCATCTGGCCAAAAATAGATTTGAAGTGGTTATAGCAATAAGTAAGATAGAGGCAAGGAGGAGGTGGTAGTAGCAGTAGTAGTAAAGGAAAGCATTCATATTAGATTCATCATGAAAAACAACAGACAAGAGATTTTGATCAGCAGAATATATATTAATTTCTATGCCTCATCGGGAAGCAACTAAAATTGTGGATCATGTCTCAAATTCACAAGACAGAAACAATTATTTAAGGAAAAAAATGGGACTTGAATGCATGAACTTTAAAACACTGTTTAGAAATTACTCTGGAGATTCTAAAATAACACGGATTTGTTTTAAGAAGTGTGTAATTTAACAGTTGGTGGCGATAGTGCATTGAATTGTGGCAATTTACTAGAAGAAGAAGAAGCATAAGAAGCCGAAGAAGAAGCAGCAGAAGAAGAAGGAGGAGGTGTAGCCAGGTGTTGCTACATATCGAGGTTTTCTCCGAGTTAAATGTCAACATGTTCAAAGCAATGACAGAGACTTGTTCTGTTTTCGGTTGCAAAGCTGATAAAGAAGTGGTGAGCCTTCACGTGTTACCCAAAGACCTGAACATCCGGATGAAATGGGTGCATTTTATTTGGAAAAATCGCAACATCCCAACCAAACTTCCAGATAAAACTCGGGTTTGCAGTAGTCATTTTCCAGAAGCCAGCTTTGAAAATTTTATCCAAAAACAGATGGGCTTCGCCACCAAACTTATCCTGAAGCCGGACGCTGTTCCGACCATTTATCCCGGAGAGGCGGCGGGCAGCAGCCAGCACGGAGGTCCGCCGGTGAGTTCAGGCTTCTGCTGCTGCAGACGGACACGGTGCACATCTGCGAGTAGCATAACACCAGGTTGCTTGTTTTAATGGAGAATTCTTCAGTGAGTCTTCTCTTTATGTGTTTTTAAGAGTATTACTGCTTTGCGATCACACACTAGAGATGTGGGCTGTCAGTGCGACCCGCCGGAGAGACCACAGAGGACGGTGTCCACCCAGCTGTCACATCTCACCTTAATACACAGGCGGAGTCAAGGTGTGTCACCACAGGCTTTTACTCATCTGTTATGATGAGCTGTGGCCTTTTTTTGCCAGTAAATGTGTGTACTGTGTGTAATGTTGCAGCTATCCAAGTCAAGCCATCCACCAAAGGGTTTGGAGTCAACACAGATGTGTCAGCAGGATTTGGAGGATTCCTCTCTACTACCATCAAAGAGGAGTCTCCTCCTTTGAAAAGGAGACGCATTGATGCATTGTCAGATGGCACAGAGGAGTCAGAGGACACCAAGCCACATCCCGATGACACTTCATACCACCAGAGCACCTCTGCTGTTGGTGAATCAGCCAATGTGAGGTAATCCTTGTCAAATACATTTAGTTATAGTATAATCATCTCTGGGCTGCACGGTGACTCGGTGGTTAGCACTGTCGCCTCAAAACTAGAAGGTTAGGATGCCTGGGATCTTTCTGTATGGAGTCTGTGTGTTCTCCCCGTGCAGCGTGGGTTCCCTCCGGGTTCCTCCCACAGTCCTAAAACCTGCTGAGGATAATTGGTGATTCTAAATTGACTGTAGGTGTGAGAGTGCTCGGTTGTCTGTTTGTAGAATGGTGACCTGTCCAGGGTGTCCCCTGCCTTCACCCTGAGTCAGCTGGGATAGGCTCCAGCCCCCCGTGACCCCAGTGAGGATTAAGCGGTGTATAGATAATGTATGGATGGATATGATCATCTCTGCTGGATGATCACCTGGGTGTCTTTTCTGGTGTCTGCTCTACCGAATAGCACACAGCTCTGTCATGAGACTGTTTCACACTGATTATCAGATCCCTGTGAAGGAGCTTCTTGCTCTGTGTGAGAAGTCACACCCAGATGGGGACTCGTTTGCACAAGCGTCTCAGCTGCTTTCCACCAGTCTTACTGACATGTTTCACTGACATGTTTATTTTATGTTTGTCATAAATTCATGATTGTTTTTAATTCTAACAATCATTAAGCATGTAATAAATAAGTTATTGAAGGGGTAAAAGTGATCATCTTTATGATGTGTACACCTTTTACTCCGTGTTTATTACGCCTAGTAAGACTGATATGTAGCCTGTCTTATCCAGGGAAACCCAGATTTTAATTCACCTTTTCAAACAGATGTGTACTGGCTGGATGCATATTCACTCAGACAGACAAACTGTATCATTTGTTTGCATTCAAGATTGTTGTGCAGTCATGTAACCTGTGTATGTGCTTTAATGTGCTTCTAATGCTTAATATTTTTTCCTCTAAAGCTAAAATAAAAGTTCCTAACTGTTTGCATAATTTGTATTTCTTTACCATTAACATTATCAGTTTCATTTTCACCACAGACTTATACTGTTTATAATGGGAAACTGATGCTGCATTTAGTCATCCAACAGCTTTTACTCTACTAACTTCTAATCTTTAATGTAGCACTTTGAGATTTCATTGAAATGAAAAGTGCATTACAAATAAAATGTATTGTTGCTGTTGTTGTTATTATTATTGTTATTTATAATCTTATTTTATTTACTTTTTTTCTGTCCACAGCCATGAGACACTGGTACAAGATGCCACCAAGTATATCGTCTATGAGGACTGCCTGTTAAGCCTGTTTCATACCTGCCCCCGCTGTGGCCAGACTTGTGAGGTGCACAAGTTTGTCCGGGGAACCTTTCTGTCTGTGTCACAGAGGTGTCCTTTCTGCCAGTTCAACCGCAAGTGGAACAGTCAGCCGATCATTGGTAGCACCCCAGCAGGCAACCTGCATCTGTCTGCAGCTGTCAACTTTACCGGTTCATCATTCAGACAGTTTAACAAGGTAACATTTTTTACAACTGAAAAATTTATGTGGCATTGTAAGAAAAATGTTGCATGGGAAAAGGGACGTCTGGAATTCTCTGCTTAGAGTGCTGCAACCAAGATCTGATTCTGGATTAGTGGAAGAAATGGATTGATTGTTTGTGTTATATGCTGTATTCAGTCTAATATCAGATCCAAAGTCTCATCAAAACCTTTTTTATTTTTAGGTTCTGTCTGCACTCAAGGTTCGAACCATAGCTGAGACGACATACTTTGATCATGCCAGATCGTACATGGATCCGTGTGTTTTCTCAACCTGGAAGCGGTTACAAGCAGACCTCATCCAGACTCTGAGCCAGAGGGAGGATGTCACACTGGGAGGCGACATGCGAGCCAAGATCCCAGGGCACAACGATAAATACGGTTCCTACTCAGTCATGGACCTCCACAATGGAAACATTGTAGATGTCCAGCTGATGCAGGTGAGGTTCTACTTTAGTTTCCAAAATGTTCCTGTCTGGCCTCAATGAACACTTACTTGGAAATGCAGTAACCTAATCAGACTATTATTATGGCATAATTAATTTCTTGTGTTGACTTGCCCACAAGAGAACATTGTTGCTGTTGAGAAGTAAAGTTAAAAACAATATTTTTTTACAGAGCAGTGAAGTTGGCAGCAGTGCAAACATGGAGACAGAGGGCCTGATGAGGAGTCTTTCTTTTCTGGAGTCGTCTGGGGTGACGATAAAGGCCGTGGTGACGGACAGGCAACCACAAATACAGAAGTACTTGAAAGAGCAGAAACCAGATATCACGCATTTTTATGACATGTGGCACATTGCAAAAGGTATGAAGTTAGGTACTGTAGTTAGTCACTGTAATTTTTAACTTTTTACTGTGCAGCCCCAAAAATCCCACTTTCATCTGCTTAACTCAGGTGTTTCCAAGAAGTTGGAGGCTCTGGCCAAGGAACAGAAGTGTGACAAGGTGAAAAAATGGCAAAAATGTGTCATCAAGCATCTTTACTGGTCTTCCACCTCTTCATCGTCTGGTGAAGAAGCTGTGGCTAAGTGGGCATCAATCTCCAATCATGTGCAGAACATCCACAGCCACGACAATGCCCTTTTCCCAGAGTGTCAGCACTCTGAGACGAGTGGGGGTCCCTCCAAAAAGTGGTTAAAGCCTGGTATGTGGAAAAGCTTTACAATATATATTTTACACACAAAACATGATATGGGATAAACATCATCTTTTAAAAATATGGTGAGGACACTACTTACTGAGTCCTGTACCTGCTTTTAGTGTGTTTTATCTTCAAGCCTTTTATTGTTTTGTTTGTGTATTGTTTTTTTATGGATATATTCCTTTTATTGTATTTTCTTTTCTGTGCTGCCTCTTGGTCAGGTCGTTATTGTAAATGAGAATTTGTTCTTGATTAATCCACCGGGTTAAATAAAGGAAAAATAAATAATTAAAATAGTTAAGACATTAACCATGTGCTATATTAATGGTTATGCATCACCTCTTCTAGTGATCCAACATTTAGCAGTTTCCCCTCAGGGATCAATGAAGTATCTCTCATCCTGATTCTGGTTCTTTGCAAAAAACAATACAGTATTGACTAGTATAGACAATAAATTCGATCACAACGTCACCATAAAAATATAACAACAATGTTTCTATTACAGCATCAAAACCTGCCTTCAAGTTCCAGAGAATTGTGAAGAACAAACGCCTGATGAGAGACGTAGCAAAACTTAGTCCTACCCATCAGCTGTCGGCCATTGAGAGGTTCCATGGCGTATTTCTGCAGTTTGCCCCCAAAAATTTGGTCTTCTCCTACCGTGGAATGCTGTGCAGGTAAGTGTAATTCCTATTTCATGTCTGGTATTGTGAAAATGGTACAGCAACGTTAAGATTCAGATTATGCGAACGAAAACCATTTGGACAACAATTACAGTGTGGATATAATGCTATTTTAGATTGTGCCTGGCTGCCATTCATTTCAATGAAAATGTGACACGGGGTCAGCTGAAGACCAAAGATGGAGCACTGGTCTATAAAATCAAGTGCCCAAAGACAAAGAAGGGCAAATGTTCCATTCAGGCAGTCAAGACAAAGCCAACCTCTGGTAAACTATTAGAATTCTTTGTATATGCATGTCTGTACCCACGTATGAAATGGGTCTGACTGAACTGGCCAAGTTACAAAATAATAAATGTCAATGTGACAGGCTACGTGGACAACCTGCTCCAGGTCCTCTTTAGTGAGGTGCTAAATGATCCCGGACGATTCACCGCTCAGCTGGACCAGCTGACCTCCCCAGAACCCTTGTGTACTCAGCCCAAGAAGTCTGACAGGGAGGAGGCCATTGCTGGGATTTTGTCACGATTCAGTTGCCCAGGTAAGGACATGAAGCCTGGATCCACTTCATCCAAGTCCTCCAGAGAGCGCGGCAAGCAACTGATGAACTCCTGAGTGGTACTGATTGACCCTTTTACTGCAACTGCCTCTGGTGTCCTTATTTCACACCAGATTCTCACTGTCCTCTAGGGGTGATTTATTTGGCCTCAGTAGAGCAGATAAGACCCATCCTACCCTATAAGTCAACTGTTTGACCTGCTACCGTCTAGTAGATGCTTCAGTTCCATCATCAGTTATTTTTAGAAGACAATACGTAGATGTTTACAGTCAGACTGCATCTTTGTATGTATATAGTCCTAACCGTAGTACTTGTATAGGTAACACCATTTCAGTGTATGTGCTGCATATGTGGTGTCATGAAGACCAATATACCAGTCATTAATAATAATTACTTTTTTTTTTTTTGTCTTCTTTTACCTGTATTTTAGGTGAGTGGAGTGGAAAAGAGGAAGTGCCTGATGAGCAAGAAGTGCAATTATCCAATCCAAGTAGCCAAGACAACTCCCACATATGGTAAAACTTTCACAAGTAACTACAGTTAAAAATGCATTATCTACATTAGTGCAACTTCAAACTCTATGTTAAACTCTCTCTCTTTTTTTTTTTTTTTTAAATTACAGAAAAAAATATAGACGGTGCTGACAGCTCTATTAACTGAAGTTATCGCCTACTGTTGTCCATTTACTGCTGAGGTTCCACCATTCACTGGGGACTGAAAGGCTTAATGTGGATGAGGCATTTGCTTGCTTTTGTGTCTGACTTCAGTAGTTCAGAGAGTGTCTGAAGCCAGTGTACTGTCCTTGTCTATCAGGAAACTATTGGCAATCCCAAACCATAACACAAGGTGGTTTGACACATCTGTTCGTGTGGTTCGAGTATCTCTATTGTCAAGCTCAAATGGCCAGGTTTACAGACAGTTGTGTAAATAGTATTGAAAATAAGTGACTCGTTCTGAGGTTTTTTCTTGCCCTGGATCTTTTGTTTCTATCCTCAGTGTTTCTCTGTGTATTTATTGTGTATAATATGAGGCTTCCTGTCATTTTTTCAAATGTATAATATACACTGAACAAAAATATAAACGCCCCATGTCAAATGTAAGAGGTTTATGAACATTTGGGTTATGCAATATATAGAGAAACTCAAAATATATTTTCAGTAATTACTGATCTTCACATCGGCATTGATAACATCGTGGTATGGCCATTTGTAGCGGATTGACAGTCCGTTGAACATGATAGGGATCAGGTTGAGGAATTAGATTTTTCAGTATCTTGTGTGTCCGCCAGCTGCGTCTCTCAGAGCAACACACCTTCTTCGCATGGAGTTGATCAGATTGTCTATGTTGGCCTGTGGAATGTTATTCCATTCCTCCTGGAGTGCCACACGGAGCTGACCCACATTGCCTGGAACTGGAACACAGTCCCGGACACGCCTATCCAGAACATCCCAAAGATGCTCTATTAGGGACATATCTGGCAAATATGCATGCCAGTCCAGAACTTCAGTGTCCTCTGTTTGAAGGAATTCCATGCAGATGCGGGCAACATGAGGTCGGGCGCTGTCATGTTGAAAGGTGATGTCATGCTGGCACACAGACGGCACAACAATTGGGGTGAGAATCTCGTCCCGATATCTTTGTGCATTGAGGTTCCCTTCAATGAAGTGCAGTGGTGTTCTATGCCCGTATGTGATGCCTGACCACACCATAATGCCACCACCTCCATGGGCAACCCTGGCCATAACATTTGCATCTGCAAACCGTTCACCCACGCATCACCAGACACGCTGTCTTCCATCTGCACGATACAACTGGAACCTGGATTCATCCATGAACATCACTCTTCTCCAGCGTGCCAAGGGTCATCGGACATGTGCATTCGCCCATGCGAGTCGGTTCCTACGCCGGACAGCAGTGAGATCCAGACCATAGTGAGGGCGCCGAGCATGCAAGTTGGTTTCTCGTAGGCGGTTTCGGACAGTCTGAGGTGTGATGCGTCTGTTGCGCAGACCAATAGTCTCATCAGCTGTGTATGTCGCTGGTCTTAGCCGATCCCGCAGATGGACAAGCCGGATGTGGCGATCTTGTGCTGGAGTGGTCACACGTGGCCAACGAGGATAAGGTCGATTTGCAGTAGTGCCAGTCTGTTGGAAACGAACTCTTAAACGGCCTATGGTCCGATAATGGACATTGAGCCGTGCAGCTACTGCTCTGGTGGACATCCCTGCATCCAACATGCCAATGGCATGCTCCCGCATAACTTGCGACATCTGAGGCATTATGACTTGTGACAAAATCTGACATTTTGGGGTGGCCTTTTATTGTCCCCAGTCCAAGGATTGTCCAGCTGTTGCTCATTTTGTATGATCACCCACTGGACATGCCCCACCCATGCACTGAGTAAAAAAATAACTCACTGAGTAATGCTCACTGACAGAAAGTTGGATTAAAAATTATACACAAATCATGAGAAATATTACTTTTATGCAATAAAATGTCAGCAAATGCTCATTTACAGTTGTTAACTCCACATGGCAACAATATTTGACATGGGGCGTTTATATTTCTGTTCATTGTAAATGGCCTACAAAAGCTTCTGTTTGTGTATATTGATCCTGTTTACATTGTGTGCATTTTATGTGAACATTTACTGTTTCAATAAATACATTTTTGTATTCTTCATTATAAAATGCAGTCTGTCTTTTTCTCCCCCAAGCTTTCCCATTGGTTTGTAACTGCTGAAATTAAATCTGAATAATCATATGAGACAATCATAACAAGAAAATAATTGTTTTAGTCCCCCCCTTTTAAAAGAAAGTTGACCTTGCACTTGCTGGTTTCAGCTTCTCAGAGGTACGGTTTGATGCCTTTCTTTTTCATACATGAAAATTAGATGAATATGTTTTAGGTTTGGAATACTGGTTGAACAAAGCGATGCATTTGAAGGCCGTTTTCTCACATTGTACAAACAACAAATAAAAGGCTCATGACTTGAAAATACTTAAAACACAATCTGCTTTGTTTTGCCATTTATCATTTGCTGTTTGTCTCCTCGAACTGAAGAACAACAGCGCCCCCTCCTGGTTGTCAAGCGTTTGGTCCGCACACATTGAAACGAACCTGTTATCTGATTTGAGGACTGTTTTGTCCTTTTAAACACTACCAAGCAATTTTTAATTAAAAAAAAAAAAAGCAATTTTATAACGACTGCTTTTATCATACAAAACTAAACCTGCACAGATCAGATCAAAGTGAATAAACAGCAGCAGTCACAGCGTTTGCCCCACGCCCATAACTCTGGAGTGGCCCACTATCATACTGAAGGTGAGGGTATCACATTCAAAAAGCTTTAATTTTGTGAGCAAAGAGCCACAAAACAATATTTGAAGTGAAATTATATTAATATTAATTCCGTAATATATACTAAATATCTAATAAAGTTATCAAAGTCGGAGTATGGTGTATTACATTTTTTTAATAAAGGGAAGTCACCCCCGTGTTTCATCTACATGTCAAAGTGCACTTTCCAGACGCGGAAGCGCTTTCCAGCTGTCAAACAGATTTTTGTAAATCGCACTCAGCCTTCGTTTGACAGGAACACAACCACTTAACTTTAAAATGGACTCTCCACGCTGGTTGCCTCTGGAATCAAACCCAGAAGTACGTATCGTTTGTTTTCTTGAAACCGTGTTGTTTTATCGACGCCATTCATTCGCAAGCATGTGAGTGGCTAGCTAACTTGTAGCTAGCAGAGAGAACAAAAGCTGAAGCCGGTGTGGCTGCTTTGCAAATCCCCGCAGCAGTTTGATTAACGTTTTCATTTGTGTCTTTTCATTCCAGGTCATGACTAAGGTACGTATTTCTTTTTTTAAATGTATTTATTAGTAGACAGGTTAGAAAAATCAACGACAAAGTGCTGTGCAGAGGCGCAAGGCCTACCCAGCAGCGATGCTACACCCAATGTAACGTTATTAATAAAGAACAAAAGTCCCAAACCAAAGTGGCTGATAAACAGAAAGACAGAAGACAGCAGCTTAGAAACTTACAGTCACAGGTATGCTGTGGTAAGATGTCTTAGGTTTTGTTCAGTGGTCGTGCCTCTTTTCAAAACTTTCATACGTGAAATTAAATTAAAATTCTCTCCACATTTTTTTCAATATTTACCTGATAATGTATTATCTGATCAGCACTAAAGCGTTGCAACTAGTAGAAGCCTCAACTTCTGAGTAAACATACTTAAGGCAACGCAGATTTATTCCTGGTTCAATGTGAGGCTTGATGGTTCCAGCAGCCTCAGTCTGTAAATGCAGAGTCATCCAAGTGGACACACACTAGTTATGTAGGTAACGCTTTATTGTACAGGTTTATATAGCTGTGAGCATTCAAGAGAAATAAACTATGTGTAATTGGCAGGAATTATCTAGGGCTGCAACTAATGATCATTTTCATAGCCTAGTCATCTGTTTACTATTTTCTCAATTTATTGATGAGTTGTTTGTTCTATAAGATGTAAGAAAATGCTGAAAGTGTCCATCAGTTTTTCTTAAAGCCTGCCTCAAAAGACTAGTTTTGTCCGCAAACCAAAGATATTCAGCTTACTGTCAAAGAGGAGGAAAGAAACCACAAAGTAAGCACATTTAGAAAGCTGTAATCACAGATGTTAAACTTTTTTCTTTAAAAAAAAAAAAAAAAAAGTTACTTAAAGTGATTAATCACTTATGAGAATAGTTAGAGATGAATTAATCTGAATTTATAGTTTGCAACTATTTAATTAATTCATTGTTAAAGTTCTAACATTAATTTAAATAACTATATACACAGTTCACAGTGGTAGACTGAACATGAAGAAAAATACTTACTCATAGTTTTGTTCTGAGTACGCTTATTTTACACGGTCAACATTTTTTTCATTATATTTTCTAAAGATTTTCTGACAGACATTTATGTTGCTGCTATGTAGTGACACAATATTTAATTGAGAAAACAACTGTATTTCTACTTTATTGTTTTTTTATTGTTACATACCTCTGCTCTAGCTTTTTGGACAGCAACAAATTGTTTGTGATGGTGATCAGGATTCCCCAAGTTATTACATACTCCTTTGTTTTGAGTTTAATTTGTCTGTCAGATATTGTAAGTTCAACTTGATGTGCAAACCAGTTTACTGTCAGCTTGTGTGCAGTTTGTCAGTTGTTTGGGTATGAAGTCAACCTGGCAGTTTGGGGATGTGTATGGATTGGACCCAGAGCTTCTCAGCATGGTACCAAGACCAGTGTGTGCAGTGCTGCTTCTCTTCCCAGTGACAGAGAAGGTATTTCTTGTTCTTGTTACATCTTTTCTTTTTTTTTATTTCTAATGTACAGCTCCACTTTGGATGTCTGTATTTGTTGGCACACAGGCTCGTGTCCATGGCAAACATTGTTCAAGAAATATTTCTCTCCTCTGCTACTTCTGTCCAGTATGAGGCATTCAAGCAAGAAGAGGAGGAGAAACTCAAAGATCAACGACAGGAGGTCTCCCCAGACGTCTACTTCATTAAGCAAACTATTGGAAATGCTTGTGGAACAATAGGATTAATTCATGCAGTGGCAAACAACCAGGGACACCTGGAATTTGGTGAGCATTTAGCACACTTGCATGTTATAGGACTGAGAAGTAAACTTGACTACAAACAGACAATTTAATGCTTTATTTAGTGATTTATTGACAGTTTTAGTCCTTTGTTTTGATTTTAAATGATCAGTTTATTGTTACGTATCCTCCAACATTACACTCAGTGGCTGCTCAGTTAGGTGTACCTGTACAATCTGCTTAAATTCAATGCATCAGCTCTACAAACATATTACACGTTTATAAAGTTTGTCATGCTCAGGCTTTGTTGATGTTGAAAAATTAATTTATATGTATATTACTGAGGTCATAGTTGAAGGTGGAATTGTCGAGGCCAGCATTATATTGAGGCCCTGATGTGCACAAAAAACCCTCCATATAATGCAGTAAAGTAAAGCACAAAAATGACCTTGATGCTGAAACCTATGATAGAACATACACCTGCATGACAGAGTCAACAAATGACCGTGAACATATATGAGGCTTCATAAAAGCAGAGTTTGTGGCCGAACAGTTGTTCTGGATCGTCCTAGACTGTGTAGCTGAACCTAACAAAGAGGATACTGTGTGTAAATCCAGTTTCATCTTTGCTTGCAGGCAGTTTTCTGTAGACTGTACTGAAAGTTTTGTTGTTGTTTTTTTTTCTCTACAGAGCCTGATTCTCCTCTTAAGAAGTTTATTGAACAAACATCTAAAATGACCCCAGAGGACAGGGCCACGTTCCTGGAAAAAGACGAGGTAGGAAAATGCTGTAGAGCATTTTTGATCAAGGATGAAGCAACAAAGTGGTCACATGTGTGAAGGCTTTTGATTTGTGTGACCAACTTGTCACAAAGAGGGATTATTGTCTAATTATCTGTTGGAAAACACTGGCTTGGTGTCTGTTGCTCTAAATGTGCTATATAAGTAATGTTGACTTGATGTGACTGTAATACGAAGATATTCCTGTTACAATGTTATACCCAAGGCCAATAACTTATCTAACAAATGAGAACATTTTCATATGTAACAGCTGCAGCAATAATTGGCAACGAATGCTGGTTAGGAGATAGTTCAAATTACAATGATGTAGATTACAAGGAAACACTTTATGCCTTTTTTCCTACTTTGTCTTCCAGAGTATACGTGTTACACACGAATCCAGCGCACAGGAGGGACAGACTGAGGTTTGTATTTAATTTTTAACTGTGGAAGTTGAACTGTTGAACAGCCATAACACCACATGTAGTGAACTTTACAGGCGTAGCAGTGTGTCTCACTTAATGGAAATGTTAATTTCTTATCTGTCGCAGGCCCCAAGTTTAGATGAGAAAGTGAATCTGCATTTTATAGCTTTTGTGAATGTCGGAGGACACTTATATGAACTAGGTAAGTTAACCAGGGAGACACAAGTATGCTTTTATGTAAAAAATACACATTTGTCACATTCTTGATGGCAATTGCTTTAATTACCCCATTTAATGATGGCAGATTCAAAGCACAATTATCCTGAAACTACCTAATTAACTGCCTTTTTCTATATTTAGATGGCCGAAAGCCTTTCCCTATCGTCCATGGAAAAACCTCAGAAGACACTTTCCTCGAGGTAAGATGTCACAGAATAAAACCGGTGAACTGTCATCCCAATACCTCCTTAAGCTGAGTTGTAATTCATCATTTTACTTGTGTGTTCCAGGATGCCGTAGAGGTTTGTAAGATCTTCATGGCTCGTGATCCTCAGGAGGTTCGTTTCACCATCATTGCTCTGTCCAAAGATTCATACTGAGAAAAATCCCTTGTGACCCCAGAAAACAGAGAAAACATTACTGCCAAACATTCTTAAGTGCTGATTGTATTGGAAAATTACCTTTTGCTCAAAATGCTATAACAAATGATGTGCGAGAAATAACAAAATGTCGGGAATGTCACTCTAGAGTAATGTTACACTTACACTATACATAAATTGTCACGAGTTAAATTAATTCTAAAGAAATTCGAATGCTGTTGTGTAATTAAAAGTATATATTGTAAAAATAAAAAAGCAAAATCTTCTGGTTCCCCACTGCTGACACATCTCTAAATGTTATGCAGATATCAGCTGACAGTGAAGCTGCACTTTGGTTTGTTTAAATGATGTGTTTGGCTTTCAGTTCAGAAGGAAGTTTAAGAAATTTTCCGCATCGCAAAGGGAACTCGACTTTTCTACTCAATGATAGTTCAAAGATGCGTACTGTATGTCGTGATTTGTTTTTGATGAAATGTCTAACCACATGGTCGAAGCGAGCTGAAGAAACACAGGCTTTAATTTCATTCATAGCTTTGAAAAAAAAAAAGTGACAGGCTAGTGTTGTTGTATGCAATGATGGTGTCATGAAAAGCTTATCAAACAATACTTCTTGAAGTGAGGCTAACTAAACATGCAGACTACACATCCGTGTGGAAGGTGCCTATGTTTTTTGTAATAAGAATTAGAGATTCTGTCAAATAAAAGGCAAGTTTATTAAACATTTCTTTTGTGGCTCTCCTCTGTAGCACGAACATATACAGATATATTTATTGGTTTACTATGTCCATGATCTGGTTACCTGGTGTTTATTGTCTGAGGTGTACAACGTGATCAGACAGATTTAGAACAATATTCTGGCACGCTGGTGTAGAATCCCAGCAATAGGCAAATAAAAGGCTTTTAAGAAATCAGAGGGTAAGTTCTAAGTGTGCACTGGAAATACAAAAAAAGCTGCTGATGTGACTGCAAGCTACTTTAAAAGTTGCAAAACTGAAACACCATATTTTTTACTGATTTTATTAAGATGCTACTCTACCAGTTCTGTAAAATGAAAAACTTATGGAAACATGCAAAGCGTTGTGTGTCAAAGCTTTAAAAACCTGGACGTTCATTTGTCAAACTGCATCTAAAGTTGACTTGTATGACTTTATTTAATGTAAGCAGACAAAAGTTCTGAAAAGCTGGCACTCTCAAGCACACCACCCATCGTACTTTAAATCTAATTTGGCTGCTCAATTGCTGCTCAGTTGATTAAATCTGCACTTGAAGAAGCTAAAGTGAGTCTAACTGAACACTCTGCTCTTTGTTAATATTTGTTTAGTGCTTAGTTTTGCAGCAATCTTTATGCTGTTGCACACTGACATATTTATTTGTCTGAGGCTTTGAAGAAAGATTTTTCTCATGATGAAATGCTTCCAGTTGCAGAGAATTTAGCTCAAAACAGGAGCTGCATTATTCTCTCAAACTTTCAGTCTGCAGTTCCATCCCAATACTCAGGATAATGAAACTAAAGAGGAAGGAGTGGTGAGAGGAAGAGGAGATGCCAGAGGGATAATTGACTTCTCTTCCTCTTGTTTTTTTTATCACCACCACTATAGTTAACCACATAAGGGGGGCTAAAGTATATTAGAACGCTCATTAATCTGAATTACACACTGAAAAGGTCAAATGAGTTACACTTAAGGCTACACTGTTCTCTATACAGTATTCGTCAGCCAAATAGACGCGCAGATGATGACTTTCTTCTTTCTTTTTAGGCTATTTAACTCATGCAGCTTTACATAAAGGGACTATGTTTGACCTACAAGCTGGTCACGGTGTCTTGGTTATGTTGGCCAACCTTGTGTATGATGCAAAAGGATAATGGGTCAAAAGTCGCTTTTCACATATAGAACCCAGTCAAAGTCCCCTGTCACTGTTCTGTGTGCAGTTTAGTACATCAGTGGATTATTATCTTTGATCTATAAATATGTAACCCACATTTTAATGTTACTGGGTAAGGATGAGCTCATTTCACTCCATATGTTGTTGGGTGTTTTAAGCTACTGCAGTGATTTTTGTGTTATTAGATGGTAATATTGTAGGGTTTTGATCTTAATATGTGATTTATTCAGAATCAGAATCAGAAATGCTTTATTGATCCCCTAGGGGAAATTGCTTTCTGTTACAGGTGTTCCTATTCAAAGTCTTAAGAGAAGTAGGAAAGTAATTCAGTTAAATTTGTGTTTTTCTAAGGTTTTGCTTGTGATACTTACATTTGACATTTGCATAATTAACAATATACAACAATATAGTCATATTGCTTAATATTTAATGTAGTATAGAATATTTGCATTTTAAATAATACTGTAGGTTCTTAATATTTAAACTGGTTTTGCATAATTTGAGTCTGTATGTCTCCTGGAAAACACTTTGGCTCAATGGCTGTTGTTTAAAGTGTGCTATGTAAATAATTGTGACTTGACTATTGACTATTGACTTGACCTCTGGGTGGCCTGTTTCTGTGTCCTCTGTCACAGCACAATGTAAACTTGTGTTTTTACAAGTGTTTTATAAAATTATTGTAATTATTGTAGGTAGGTTTTGTATAGAATTTGTAACTCTACAACTGTAGTTCGGTTGAAATGTTCAAGTAACCTAAATACTGCATTTAAATCCAGTGGACTAGTTGTATACATACACTTTACCAGCAAGCAGGATACGTTTTCACAACATTCAATGACACTACCGACTAGTTCTAATAATGCTGTGAAGAAAAAAATTGATTCAAATATTCAAAGAATGTTTAAATAGCATTTATCATTCTAAATAATGTCCCTATGAGGTTAAAAGTTAAGTTAATGTTTTAATATTCAGAGGACGTTTGGAGGATGTTTTCAGAGTGTGTTAAATGTTAGCGAAAGAAGAACGTTCACAGATCAAGAATAACATTTTTTATCATGGCCTCAGAAGACAAAATGCATTTTTCTAAATGTTCCTCTAATTTGATGTAATAACAAAGAACATTTTGCCTCCAATATTCTGAGGATGTTTTTAGGATTTTGCTGTTGTTCTTCTACAAAACATTCCTTCAATGTTACATGATGGCAAAGGAGGGATTTTCTCAATGCAACATTTGGGTTGTTTCAAGAACATTTTAGAGTGTCTTTAGGGACTTTGTCCTACCTGTAAAAAGAACAAGCTGCCAACTAAATTAAAACATTACTAGAACTTTGCAGAACTTTCTCAGAACGTTTTAAGAACAAAACAAAATCTAGCAGGTTGTTGCTTTCCATCACTGCTCGAAGCCAACTTAACATTCAGTCCAAGCAGTAAATACATTTTACACTGAACTGATTGTGTTCTGGTCCTGTAGTGCTACAATCACTGCCACTGGGTGGCGCTGCAGGAAAGACATTTGCTGTAAAAGTCGAGCCTAACTCTTTCAAACAGAAAAGTTGCCCAGGGGCTCAAACTTTTTGACATTTTTGTGTGTGCAGCCCTGCAGCCCACAGAGCTCACTTTTTAAGCAGTTTGTCCAGAGTAACTTCAGTCTGGGATCATTTTGCTGCTTCAATTCCACTTTTGTACAACTCTGCTGCTGATTGAGGAGCAGTGAGACTCTGGGATCCAAACTGTTTATTTCAGAGCGAGATAATAACAGCGAATTCAAACCTCTGCGTTCACCTGGAAGCCGCTCAGGGGGGGACGCGTGGGTGGTCCCCGGACCTCAGTTTGGAGACCCTCCTGCCAATGAGTGTTTAACTTGTGCAGCCTGAAACTTGCGGACAGGAGTGTCTCTCCTGTCTCCAGCAGACGAGGTGCGCACAGAGACGCGTTTGATCGCTGCGTAAAGGTGGAGTGCAAAACAAGCGCAAAGAAACAAAGCACAGGTGTGTCGGATGAAAAGAAACAGGTAAGCAGCGGGCGATGCGACGGAATGCGTTACTGTTACACCTTGCATTCATTCACTGATGAGCTGCTGGAATAAAAGCACAATAGGAAGCATATTTGATGAATGAGGGAGTGTGATTACTGGTTCACCTGTTTGCTTTGCCAGTACGCTCTGACCACTTTTAAGTGCGCACATTGTGTTTGCTTTGTTTGAACTGGCCCACATTTACGTGGACTTTACATGCGGCCCACTAGGAACCGACTTGGCCCGCCGGTGAAGCTCGGATAATACGTTTTTGTGATGGAGTGGCGTGAGCAGTCCCCTGTCAGCTGCGACGAAGCCTACTTGGAGGCGCAGAGATGGATTGAGGTGAGTAAGAATTTTCTTTCTTCAGAGTTCCTGTCAGCACTCCCATAACGCACCTAAATGTGACACAAAACTGGCTGGTGAAAAGTTAGATTTTGAGGCTTTTATCCTTATTTATGATGATGTATGACTGTACTTGGCTACTCTGAAGTATCCACCAGTGCATTCCCGTTTGAGAGGAAAGTTTATGGCTGAAAGCTGAGTCGCTGCCTCCAAACGCATGCAGCTAAGTCCCAAATAATAGCACCCTGCACCAGCAGATGTATGGAGGCATGTGTCACATTTGACCCCAGGTCTCAGGTAACCGGTGAGATCAATCTTTTCTTTTGGAGACTAGAAATGAGTTGGCCTCCGAGCATTACCCGTGCCCTCCATCTTATCTGTACAGATACTTGGCTTTGACCCCATTTATCATCACTGTTGGCTGCTGCTTCCTTTTTGACAGATCTTGCCTAGACCTGCTCATCAGTTGTTGTTTTTTTTGTTGTTGTTTCTGTGACTTTTAACTCCAGTTGCGAGCAGGCAGAGAGGAAAAATCTACAGAGCTACACACCTACATCAGGATCAACTCAGATTTATAAATTGGCATGAATTTGGAGTTGTACACATGATTTATGGCACAGTAGTGAATCAAAAACTGAAAAAAAGCACTTGTATATTATGGTGCTTGTGACAAACTGTGGAAAATTCGTAGTACAAAGACTCAAAAGAGGCAAAACGTGCCCCCTTTCCTGTAGCAGTCATCAAAATTGTAAAAAGCTGCCAACACACACACGAAAACCATTCACCAGAACTTCCAACAGCAGTCCCAATCCATTTCTATAATGTCATATTATCTGGAGTTTCCACCCAACCTCAAGCCAGACTTTCATTCTTTTCTCTTAACAAGCAGCTAAAATTATGTTTCCTCATCTCACAAAATTCTCTTCCCAGCAGGGTGGCACGGAGCTGCAGCACGGCTGTAACTAAACAAATATTGTTCTAATTTCATGAGGGGTGAATCTGAATGCTTTCGATGTGACATCAGTGTCTCTCACACTTGCACACTGGCCCATTGTAGTGACTGAGCTCCGAGGCGGGGGGCTTGATCTCAGGCGAGGGGGCAGAGGAAGATTGGGGAGAGGGAGCAGAACAGCTAGGTAAAGGTAAAGGACACAGAGGTATTATGTTAGAGGAAATATGTATGAGAAGGGAAGGAAATACAAGAGCAATCAGATTTCTGGCACAAGGGGTGGGGGGACAGTTTCCCATCAAAGAGAAAGTTTTGTGGCTATTGGATTCCGCCACTGAATGATTAACAAGCTGCTTGGCTTCACAGCACTTTAAACAGAGGCATGTGTGCATGGCGAGGTTGGTGGTGTTGTTAAAAAACTAGACTAAATGGTCTGGAGCCTGTCACATGGACACATTCCTGCATTAGCTGCCATGGCTGTGAACATAGCCCCCTTAGAGCTGGCCGGCTGTCAGCACAGGGCGCTGCG